CAGCGCCACGCAGCTGCAAGCCCCCGCCGGGCCTGCGATGGCCTCGAGGCTGGGGAATGGGCTCCCCACGGCTTTTCCGCAGCGGATGGAGCAGAAGGGATGGGATTTACTCCCCCAGCTATTTTTGACCGCTCAAAAATCATAAGCCTTCTATACATTACCATACCACCTGCCTTGACATTAGGACTGCTTGTTTTTTTAAAAACAGCTGCTGACTAAAAATAAACTCGATATATTTTTCCATCTCTTCTAGGACTAAGAGGAGCTTTCTTTTCTGGGATTTCTCATAGATGATTTTAGAAAAGCACATCTGTAATTTCTAAAAAACAATTTAATGTATCATATAGACAGAATTACATCAGTTTCATTTAATAGCTCCACTTTTTAATATGAAGAGGTTACCAGTTCTAGTAGACAAGACAGTAAAAGGGGCCTTTGTATCATTTACCAAAACATGTTGGATACAGAGTTACATATTCTTGGCATCTAGGTCAGATTGTCATGACACTTTTTGTTATGATTTGTGTTCTTTTACGTTATGCTTATAAAAAGTACTAGAGCAGTTTCCAGTAAGAAGCTCTGATTACAACAAGCTAGTGTCACACTTTCAAGCTATTAACCTACATAAGCATTCAAACATCTTCATTTAGAAGCAAGCCTGCAGAGGAGTATCATAAAGAAAACTCCACTAGTCAAGGATTTAGATAATAAAATGCAGAATTAAATATTATTTCTGACTGTTCCAAAGTAACAAGAAAGCAAAAACTTTGATGCTTCCTACCGCTAGTTACTTTACAACTAGCAAAGCATGCTTTTGCAAATACATATATTAATAAAATATGGCTTTACTTCTAGAGTTTGAATCTGTCCCCTATTTGCCAGTATAGGGTGCTGGAGATTTTTGTATGTAAAAAGAGAGACACAGCTTTTATTTTCACTTGCAATAAATTTCTTCCCACATTCATCTACCTCAGTAGAAGGTAAAATACAAAGGTTTAATCAATAGCTGGTGTGAACTACAGTAGCAACTACAATCAGAGATTACACTGCTGTATCAGCACATGTCTGGCAAGACACTAACAAACAGTCACCAAACTTTAATTCTCCTGTACTCATGTGCTTCAGAAATACAGTGATATGGAGCAACCTGAGATATTATTTTCAAACACAGCTGCTGGATAAGGAAAAGAAAGGTGTGTGTACCTGGGAGACCTGTGTGACACAGGAAGAACTAACCCCACTGGGGCAAGACATGTATCAGAATACTGCAGAGTTGTACTTGTGTTCAGACCAGAGATGTGGAGTCATCGAGTTAAAAACAAAAACCACAAAACAAGAAGAATTATACAATCTTTTAATTGCATTGTAATTTCATTGTACACTCTTCAAACAGAAATATCACTTGAAAGACATCCAGTTCCCTTAGTTTGTTGCACTGTACATGTTATGCAAATAAGAGCTGGGGTGGCATACAAACCAAAAGGTTGCTCTGGCTTTTCAAATAATTAGTTGAAAGAAGCAGAAATTTAAAACATAGCTGAGAATTTACAGCCACAAAAGAGCTTTGCAAAGGACTGGTTAAAATACGAAACACAGATGCAAAGCAGGGAGGGGAAGCTGGGGAGGAAGAGGGATAAAAAATTTCCAGTTTGAAGCTGGTTAGGGTTTTTTCCTACAACTGTACACAAGTGTCAACATGCTCAGTATTTACATTCTGAGCATTACCAATGCTACAGATAAGCAACGTACTAAAAAAATAACTTAAAAAAAGCTATACAATTGTACTTATAAATACTATATCTTTAAAACTAGTTAAGTAGTGTAGGCTAAAAAACATGTTCACAGTTACTCTGAAGAGAGCTGTATATATATATTGCACAGTAGAAAAAGTTCATTCAGTATAATGTGTAAACAATTTTTATCTTCTTTGGCAATTTCAGGACTTAGAGGAGTATTTGCTGTGAGCAAAAGCACTTGGGTACAAGGCACATCAAAAGCTTTTAAAGCTGCAAGATAAATCCTTCTGACACTTTCCAGTTAGCACTGTCATTCTCTTTAGAAAAACATGTACCTATCAATTCAGAACAACACATTTCTACAAGTATAACTCAGAGGTCTGGTGACAAAAACATCAGCTGTTCTTGGCTGTTATTCTACAGTAACAGATTTGGCCAAATTTCTTGGAAAGTCCACCTAGAATGAAGAGACAGACTCTCAATATATGACAGAGTAATACTGACATTCTGCATTCGACAGTTCATTTAGTGTGCTTTTTTTAGACTTCCTAATGAGTTCTGCTTTATTCTAGACACATTCAACACACACAAGCGACTACAGATCTGCAAGATAACAACTCACTGTTGAATTCATCATTGCTTCCAAAACCCTCCTAACAAATATATATTTGTTTTGCACAGGGTATCTTTCCAAAGCAGTCATCATTATCAAACTGACACACCCAGCCAGAGTCAAGCTAAGCTGGACAAAGCGCTGAACTATTTTAGGTTAAAGTGCAATATCACATTTTCAGATTTAGTTATCTGAAAAAGTCCTATCTTAACTAATCACACTAAGCAAATTATAATTTTTTTAGGATACCAATTAAAAAAATTAAACAGAAGAATTTGCACTGAAATGCCACCTCTACTACTAGTCACTACAAGCTCCACTCACTATTATCATAGTTCTTTGTTTGACATGCCATATAACTGGGTCTCTCAATTTACATTGTGGGAGGAAGTTCAAAACTGCACTAACTGGAGTGCTAAATATAGAAAGCACTTACATCGTATCCTCTGAGAACAGCCAGGTGGAATGAGAGCAACTGGAGAGGAATAACACTCAGGACTCCTTGAAGGCAGTCAACTGTATGAGGCAGCTCAATGGTTTTGTAGGCAAATTTTGAGCTTTCTGTGTCTTCTTTAGAACACAGAATGATTGGACGACCCTGAAAATAAAATTTCAGTGTGAAGAGCTGGCTTAGAACTGCTTTGAAATACTGGTTCACAGCATGCCTGTACTATGTTTGAAGATGCTCGGGTAGCTAACAGACAGTGCCAGTCTTGTGTAATGACTTTTGTCACTCACTGTTCTGTAAGACTTGAATGTTTTCACCCTGAGGAGTTTTAACATAATTCCATTTGCTTCAAAACAAACAAAAACCCCAAACAAATGATCCACATGCAATCAGTTTTCACTACTGGTGTTAACCTGTAATGAGAACCTACAATGCAGATTATGCATCTTATTTATGTTAATAATTAGGAAAAAAAAAAATCACCAATACATCCTTTTTCTGAGGCACAGTCAGCAGCAATACGACATCCACAATCTCTTTCCCTATCACACTGTATTAGATAAACTGCTTACCTGTCGAGCAGTGACCTGTTGCAGAGCATTCTGGCATTTGGTGAAACAAGGATCCTTCATTATCACCATGATAACAGGCATTTGTTTATCTATGAGGGCTAACGGCCCGTGTTTCAGCTCACCAGCCAAGATACCTTCAGAGTGCATGTATGTGATTTCTTTTATTTTCTAAAAAACACAAATGCCATCAAGTTACTAGTAGGTCAGATGAGAAATAAAAGCCACAAGAAACAAAACACCAAAGCTGTACATCTGCCACTTAAATACAGACATACACTATCAAATTGGTATTTTCAAATACCAGTTAATGGCAAAAACAGGCAGACTTGTCTGCTGGGATTTCTAGCAGGCTGCTGGTGGAAGCAGAGCTTGCCCATGCACGTGTGTTTGCAGACAAAGAAATGGAATAATCAACAGGAACTTTAAGAACTGAACACCCAGCACCACCTTGGCTAATGCACTTTAACATTTCAAACTTCTGTGAGAGATAGATATGCATCCATTCCATCAGAACGTTCATAACATAATTTATGAGTTTCCTGCATGAGCATCTCATCTGAACATTCAACACATTGTGTTCTTCCAGTGTTATTTTCAAATGGGTCAGCATTTTAAATTGTTTGGTGGTTTTTGTCGTGTTTTTTGGGGTTTTTTTGTTGTTTTTTTTTTTTTAAATAGACTCAACACTGCATTTATTATTATTTGAAAGAAAAAAGAAACTGATATCATATCCAGGTTCACCCTACATGTGTTCAATCCAACAGGACTAAATGCTTTTAGTTATAGATAGCAGTTTTACTGAAGCAGAATTAAATTTTAATGAAATATTAGAAATAAACTATGTTGCAGAAGCTAAAAAAGCTCATTTTCAATAACATCCAACAATACTGAGGGGTTCCTACCAGAGCTCCTTCCAGACAAGTGGCATAATTATACCCACGACCCATAACCAGCAGTGATCTTTGTTTGTACAGTTCAAGAGCCAAATCATGTATCTTCTCATCCAAGGACAAGACTTCTTTAATCATCTCTATTGGGGCACACAAAAAGCACATATTAAAAACTTTTTAATTAGAAAAAATAGCTTGCTTGTAGTAGGATGTTCTAATGAGTAATTAGGACAAATATGCTTAATATAATTCAGCCATTAACTTTGCATCTTTAACTGCAGTTTAAGGATATTTTCTCCAGCTTATTTACAGTAACAAATCTAAAGCAACTACTGGTTTAAGCAGCGCTCAGACATCCCATTTGTATTTCTAAAGGAAGTTCTGTACATCCGTTTTTAAAGTCACCTTGAATTGGTTTCCTTTTATCTATCCCAATTTAAAGTGAAAGGCTTTAAAAATTTCAAATCACCAGTTTAGGAGATAAAGTAATATTTTTCATGTAAAACTACCTTATTGTAATTAGAAAATCCAACCAATGAAAATTCTGATCTTCCTTCTAAGTTTCTTGGAAGGGCACTTGTAAAATTGGCAATTAATGCAGAAACTAATAGTCCATTTTTCTGTGTTGCCTACCTTTCAGGAGGAGGGGGAGAGCAAAACTTAAACGAGAAAGAAACATCCCTGAGTAGTATTTCATATTGCCCATTAAACAACATCCCCTATCCCTTCTCAAACCCAAAATATTACTATACCTGGCAATGATTTTAGTCCACTAATGATTTCCTGTCTCCTTTTCTGCAAGGAAATTCGGTCTTCAGACATCATTAGGCCAAACATTACAAGAGACACGAATTGGCTGGTGTAAGCCTGCAAACAAAAAAAGCATTTAGCAGCTAAGTCTTCAGAGAGTTAGTATGATCTCAGTTTGAAGTGCTACAATTAAAATTTTAATTGGATTCCACAGGGCTGAAGTATGAAAGTCAAACACCGAACAGCAATTACCTTTGTGCTTGCCACACCTATCTCAGGTCCTGCATTGATATGTACACCACAGTCAGTCTCCCTGGATATTGAGCTCCCGACAGTGTTTGTGATGCCAACTGTGAGAGCACGACGTTCTTTACAATACCTCAGGGCCATAAGCGTATCTGCAGTTTCACCTGGAAAACATTTACATTTTGACTTCAGGTTGACAGAGGATAGTAACGATTCCTGAAAAGCATAAAATTCTACGTAACTGTGTTCTCAATAACTGCATCCACACACAATGCGAAATGCAATCGAAAACAATCTTTCAACACACACTCATTGTCTACATATTTGAATCAAGACTGAAAGAAACTTTCATTCAAGACAAATCTGGGCCATTAGCCACCAACCTCCTTTGCAACATGCAGAAAGTAATAAATCACTGGCTTTTTCTAATATTTCTACAGTTTTCACTCAAGTGAAGAAAAACAGTAAATGCAGCTTACCTGACTGACTTATAAAAAAGCATACATCATCTCTGAATACAGGTGTGTTTCTATCAAGGAAGTCACTAGCAAGTTCCACCATCACTGGTAATTCCGTCAATTCTTCCAATACTTGTCGAGTCTGTATTCAAGCAGCACACAGTATTTGTTAATATTGCCACCTATAGAAGTCTTGACATCTTAAATTGAGTCAGAGATCATCTAAATGGATTCTTAGTACAAAAATTGAACATTACAGCTCACCAAAGCTTTAAAAACTGAGGTGAAAAAAGTTAATTTCTAGCATGGTAGGTAACTGCATTGGAGCATTAATAAAGAACGTGGCACAAAGGAAAAATAAACAAAAGGGCAAGAGCCCTCAATGAAAGGCAAAGTTTGAAATATAGAAGAAAAAGCAGATGAAGAGCTAGAAACCCAGCAACTATGGAGTTATATATGCATTTAAGCTAAGGCTGAACATACAGCTACTGCAGCATGGTAACTGGTCCCACAGCCAATAATGATCAGTCTTCGGCATCTTCTGATTTCTTTCAAATGATCCTTCAGCCCCCCCAACAGAACTATAAACAAACAAAAAAGCATATATCAATGGTGTTTTTCTTTTTCTAGTCAGTATGTTCAAAATTTGCAGGCTTAGTGCAGCTTGAATGCCCTTCCTGAGTTACCTGTGCTGCTTTCAAAATTCACCCGCCCTCTCATCGTATTGACAACTGATTCCGGTTGTTCAAAAATTTCCTTTTGCATGAAGGCACTGAAGTTACCTGTTTAGGAAAACATTACATGGTAATGCTTAGGTTTGTTATCTGAAATCTATTACAGTTACAAAGAGATGATTCTAAAGACAACCTGTGGTAGCAAGCTAATCTAAGTTGACTGTGTTAGCTTAAACAAAATCTTAGGAATAGGTGAGAAGAAAAGAGGGATGGTAGTTCAGAATTTGGTTGGTTTCATTTCCCACCACTGACAAGGTAACTAAATTCCTTTCTAAGGAAACTTCTGTATTCCGCTTCAGTTCTTAGTTTACAGTCAAAGTTTGCTAACACTTATAACATGTTAACTTTAGTTATATTTTCACTAAATACTGAGATAAGTAGAAGCATCTAGGACTTTTCCAAGGCTAAAAATGGGTAGGGTCCCATTCCACCCATCTTCCCTTCATCTTCGAGTTGTCAGCTCCCACTACAAACAGCCTAAATATCAGGTCATTTTCACAACAAATGAGAAGTTGTCTGCCTTATCTACTACAGTCAATAACCATCCATCTTTAATGATATTCATTTACAGATGTTTCAACCCACCCTTCATGATTTGCTGCAATTCCATCTGCAAGGTTTGGATGGCCCGGGAAGGATCATCACTAGCTGAACGCTCCAGACGGTGAATTGAAAGCTTCCCATCAGTTACTGCTGCAATGTCATCATCTTCTAAGAAAATTACTCTGTTGGTGTGCTCAATAATAGCACTACAGAAAAAAACAGAAGCAAGACAAACCTGACATGTCACTAAGAGTTGGTAGCAGCACTCCTCAAAGCAATTAAATATGCCACACAGCACTTCCAGCCCCTTTTCTATCTTCCTTTTGGTCTTAACTACAGATAAAGCCATCTTAAAGGAAATGGCTCCATCTGCTGCTCCTCCTGCACTCTCACAGGAACACGGAGCACGAGGCTGGGGAACCATGGCATCTCGCATCAGCAAGTTCCTGCTGAACTGATCCTGCCTCCCAGTGTTCCTGATGGACCCCTAAGGTCACAGTCTTCTTCCCAAGATAAATGTGTACACCAGGTTGCTGCTAAGTTTGGAATCACACCACTATCTCTTCCTGTGATAGCTGGATTAAAATGCCAAAACCCAGACTAACGTATAGTCTGCCCAAATACTCAGCTGATAGTGTCTATTTGTACCCAACTTAACTTCCTCCACTGGATGTATTTTACATAGAGGTTAGCACCTGGCAGATATTGCACTCATTTGCAGTAAAAATGCTGATGTCAAGCCTTCACATTTTTCAAGTACCTTAGCCTGGGGGCTTTACGAAGTTACCTTGATTAGAAACTATTTTATCAGAAAACAATTATACAGCAGGAAGACAGCATAAGATTTCCAGAACTATCTCGCTTCTGAACAAAAACAGTATTTTGAGAAACGTTTAAGTACTTTTACTACCTTGCATCTGAAGCAAAGAAGAATTCTACTGCCTTATCCCCAACAGCATGCAGGCAGGTAGAGCTGTCCAATCTTTTCATTCGTGAATTGCATATGTTCTTTACATTCTCAATGTTGCCTATTAAAGAAATTAGACACTTTAAATGCAAAACCAATGTTCAAGTTAGAGGTTACTGTCTACACAGGTTCAAGTCATCACAGTTACACAAGTATTTTGAGGGGATGGGACTTTTACATGAAGAACACGTTCTGTAGTATAAAAATATAACAACCTCAGCTAAGAAGCTATTTGGGCATCAACTGGTAGTTTTATAGTATAAAGACCAATTAACCTAATTTCTAATCATAAAGTTAACAATTTTAATTGTTAAAAATAATGTAATTTGATTTATCAACTTACATGTTCTATATAAAACAGGAATCTGTTCAGTGGAGAGCTTGTACTTGCTCCTAACTCCAATGAGCAAAGGACTCCCTCTCCTACAAAGGGAAAACATGCAAGTTTATAAAGATAAAGGTGCATACAAAGAAGTCAAAGGACATCTGGGAAGTTGAAAGACAATATCCCACCTAGCTTTCCTAAAGATAGTCCTCAACCCCAATCCTGGCAGGAGTTACATAAAATTGGCTTGTTTCTGACAGATTCACCAAATATCATTACACGAATAGGTACTGTATGCCTTGGTGATTCTTTCCCCATGAACTACACCCAGGTAGAGGAGAACATACATGAACTAGTTGCTTTCCTTCCAGTAATCACAAAACAGCTTAGCACAAGCACCGATTTGAATGCTGCTCTTAAACAAAGGTTACTCTGCCTCTGAAGTGAGCCAGCAATAAGCTCCAGTGCTCTTTACTATTGAAATACTGTTCCACCCTTTAGTCTTTTAAATTAAGAAATGTCAACCATCACTACTGCACCTCTGAAACTGTAGCTTATTAAGATAATTTTTCAATTATATGGGGCATGTGCCACACTGAAGAGTTTATTTTAAAAAAAATAAATCTCCCAGGAATAAAAGAGTAATTCACACCACCCCCAAGACCTCAGATTACAAATTTAGCTTCTCTTAATCCCCTCACTCCTAAAAACCCAAACCTGAACCACATATAGAATAGTTCATTTCAGAAGATGTTCTCCAGTTAGAATGATGATACAGCTGGCTTTTTCACAATTTTAATATAGTCCCATTTTAGCACACAGAAAATATGGGGGTTTTGGTTGTAGGATAAGACAGTGTTTATTCCCACTGCTACTTCACTTGCTACTTTAGTAACTTTACATTTCCTGAAAGTTGTTTTCCAAGTCATAAATAAAAGCAGAATTTACACAGGAAAAAAAAATAATCATAAATGCTGTGACAGCTATAGAACACTGTTTGTATAACCTATTAGTATGATGGCATTTTAGCCAACCTGAACATATTTATCTTAGCCTTAATTCAATGTGAAGTAAAATTGAACCATACCCTTCTCCCTCCCTTTTTGATACAGGGTAATGTTAATACCACTTTAGAAACAGGAGTTACACTGAGCTGCTTTATTGACACGCTGTAAGAGATAAAAGGACAGACTATGGGATTGAGTGTCAGTAGTACACTCTTCAGTGTGCCATTTGGATGATCTGCAACCAGAAGTGTATGTGCATGAAGCAAGAAAACATCATCCGATTACTTTTCACTACTGTCTTTGCAGTGAGTGGTCACAGCTAATTTATTAAACAGAATCAAGTTAAATACCCTAGAGAATCAACACAAGCCTCTGGAAATTCTGTGACCTGCAGTCACTACAGCTCAAATTAAGTTCTATTTAACAGACAATTGAAGAGATGCTCAGAAGAACTTTGCTGCATTTCACACAGATTCCATTAGTGCAGCTACCTACTTCAGAGTTTTGGTTAATTAAGAATTTTAAACATCAGAATTCTACGTTTCTTCAGGGGTTTTAGGGGGTTTTTTTGGTTGGGTCTTTTTTTGGAGGGTGGTGGTGGTTTGTTTGTTTTTTTAAGAGATGTTAGCAATTTATTTTTTTTTAAAAGAGCATGAACTAAGTACAAAATGGACTTTCACTAACCTGGTAGCAACAGCTTCACCTGGATAATGGATGCTTTTGAAAACCAATGCAAAAGCACCTTCCTGGAAACCATGCAAACAGAAGAGATAAAAAAATAATCTTAAACAACTTATTTCAATTAGTTACATCGCGTTAAAGTGGGGCCCCTCTTCCTGAGGGGGCTGTGAAGGAGAGCTCTTTATACTATCAGGAATCTCTTCCTGGAAGTCAGACTGCACCTTAAAAGGAATTGGTCAGGGAGCAGAACAAGCTAACGTGCACATAACAGTGCAACAGCTGAAAGATCAGGAAGTGAGCACTTAGCTTCTCTTTATAAATAAAAACAATACCTTCCAATGCAAGGGTTAAGAAACTCTCAGATGTTGCTTGTAATCAGCATGAAGACTGTCAGACCTTTACTTTCAGTGAGACTTTTAATGGATGTAGCTGCATTTTATCATGCATTTTCAGCTAAAATGTTGGAGTTACTACTTCTAGTTTAAGTAGCAAATTCTCACTAATGTATTTAAAAAAAAAAAAAAAAAAAAAAAAAGACCAAACCCACAAAACAAAACCTCCACCAACAAAACCCCCAAATCCACAACACGAAACCAGGAACACACAGTCAAGCACTGTATAGTATTAACACAGCTTGCAGATTGAGGAGTATTACAAAAGCAGGAGCAAAAGCCGCCTCCACTCTGCAAACAGAAGAGATGGTAACATTCACTCCTCTCCCAGGAACTCCAGTCAGACTACTCTGCTCTTGTTCTGTGGTGAGGGGAAGCCACCCTTCCCCTCAACTAGGTGGCTGCACCACTCTTCCCTCTTCACCCATACAGGTCTTTGTGTGTATCAGCCCTGCTCTAGAGGAATCCTACAGAGTTGCTTCGGAGAGGAAAAAGGGGACGTGAAAAGAGTGTAAGAAACTGCAGGAAGGGGAGGGAAAACATCTGCCTGGAGTCTGGGGGAGGAAACAAAGCAAGCTTTCTCCAAGCTTGCAATGCATCTATCAACATTTTTAAGCGTTCACATACTAACTAACAGTAGATTCCCACTTCGCAGTTTGGAAATCAACTACACCATGAATCAGTACAGCTTGTTAGATCTATTTCCAAATATGGGAGCCAAGGCATATTATTAGATAAACTTGAATCACAGCAGTGTTTTAACATGATCAGGATAGCCTTTAAGAACACACTCCCCTTTATGAGAGATTTCAACTCCCAGAGGCTATTAATTTTTTAAAAATAAGTTGCTTCATTAAAAAACTGTGATAACCTCTCACTTGAAAAAAAAAAAACAAAACACAAAAAAACCCCAAACACCCCCAAAACCAACAAACTACAAAAAAAAACCCCACTGCTAATGCAATTTAAAGATTTACCACTGAAAAGCCTTTTAAGTTTCCAAAATGTTAATCTCATTTCTTGGTCTATTAAGCATTGTTTAGAGGCCAAAAAAGTGTTATTTGCAGCACTTTTCTGAGGACTCCTGCAGAGGATCTAAATGCACAATACTAAGGAATCCCACAAATAGCTTATACTGTAGTCCAGGAAAACAGGAATGTCCCACTTACCAGCTGTTGAATAACTCTTTCTACCAAGGCTGAAAAACTGGTGTCCTCACTCTCTCTGTTGTCATACATGTATTTGATCAATTTGGGGATTGTTTCTGTATCCGTTTCAGATTCAAATTCATAGCCTTTGCTCTCCTGAAGTATCAAATAGAAGAGTAAAAAAACCTGTTTTCATCCTAAGGCAAGAAACACTGAAGGGCCTCAGCTTCCTCCCACCAGGAACTGCACAGTAAGATAGACTGCTTGGAACACTACACTGACTAGTGGATATGTATCACTATAAACGAAATATTAAAGACTCATCATGTCATAGCTAATCTTCCAGAAATACTCTAATAAGACAAGTAGTAAGATTTGTTTAACATCTGTCAAGCAACAAGTAACATGGGGGAGCTCACTCCACAGACCCTCTCAAAGAATTTGAGCGTAAATTGCTACTCTACTCATTATGACTTTGCATTTAGGATTACAAGAACATACTCTACTTCACCAGTATCTTTATTAGGCAGACTCCTTCACTATTTTATAGATGATATCAAGAAACTTGCATTCAGATTCCAACAAAATCATGAAATATCTGACGATAGTTGGTGGAGCATTTACTTTCTCGTTTTAGAATCAAGTTGCCACAGACTCACCAGAAATTTTCTCAAGTCCTTATAATTTGTGATGATTCCATTATGGATAACAACAAATTCTGAAAGGGAAAAAAAATATATCCTCATCAGTAGCAAAAAAATAAGATATTTAACTCAGAACACAAAATTAGAGGGAGAAAAGCTTAGTAGTATACTAGAATCTACCTGCTAGAGCTTTCAGACCTACAGTTTATCACAAAATCGATAACAGAAAGCAGAAGCTTACAAAGGTTGTTCCAAATCATTAAGACAGCTTTAAACTACAGGCAGTAGAATACCACCAAGCCATCTCAAGTGAAAAGTGATATAAAATCTCCCTTTTCCAGCCCAGACAATATTGATGCATTTACATTTTCAGTCTTATCTTTTAAAAGACGACTGTTGTACTTTGACTAATTTGCATCAATTTTCAGAGAATGGCACTCATTATTCTTTTACAGTGTTACTTTAGCCTCTGAAGAGGCTATTTTACTGTGAAAGTGTCTAACTTAAAATGGCAACAGCTTAGCCCTAGTATAGAAAATAAATACTATAACACTAGTAAGAAAGGAGAACATATGTACTATGTAGATTGAACTATTTCAAATTCATACAGTTCCAGAGTGCTGCAGATCACATACCATTCCTTTTATCTGATCGCTGAGGGTGACTATTTATTGCACTTGGTACTCCATGGGTCGCCCAGCGAGTATGAGCAATTCCAAAATGTGTTTCAAAATCTGCTTTTGAATCCAGGTCATCTTGTTCTATACACAAGAAATTCAGTTTACTGAATGAATATTTAAGGTTGAGTCTCTCACACATACACACACACCCCTAGTAAAACACTAAGAGAATTCCTACAGGCAAAATCTAAAAGTTATCTTCTGGTCTTCTTTTAAACCATTTGCTTTCCAGACATTACACTTCAGATAGTTCAAGTTACTGTGATTAAAACTTTGTTTGCCAAGACTCAAACATTTTCAGCCAATACTAACAGCTAGGCTAACAGACCACATTACTACAAATTATAATGTAAACGTATTAAAATAAAACTTCAGTTCTTCACAGATGGAAGCACTGCATAAAGCAGATTGTGATGACAGCCAGCTGCTTAAATGGTCGTAAATTCTGTCAGAGTCCATGTTTCAGCATTTCAGCTACCAAGCACAGAAATCATCTGAGTAAAGCACCAAGGGAGCCCAGGTCTCAAACAAAGAAGCAACCAAGAGAGTGGAGAGCAGACTGATAATTTCACAACTTTGTACCTAAAGACCAGCTTGCTCTTCAAGTGCAGATTTGTGAGGCACAAACAATTTAACTGCCGTTGGATTACATAATGCAGTTATTTCTGGTACAAAAACGTAACTGTAATTTCATGGTCTGACTTTCTGCTGAGATGCAGATGATATCTCACTGGGATGCCGAAGTAAAGGGGTAATTTTTAAGACACTTACTGTACAACTCTTCTTCCAGGGCCTTTACTTTTCCTCTTTTCTTAACTAGTTTGATGAACCTTTCTTTATCTTCATTATTATTTCCATCAATTGCCACTCCTACAGTATAGGACATAGTCACAAGTGTTATTTAAATCATGAAATACACTGGATGAAAAGACGGCTGACATGTTAGTGAAACAATTATTTTTAAATTATCCTTCAAAGGGATATATTTGAAGTCTGTCCCTAGATGAAGTCTATAACCGCTGCACAGATGAAAATATACATGAGCCATCTCAAATTTTTCTTGAGGACAGATTGATACACTTTGCCCAATGAAATTAGCCAACTTAAATTTAAAGAAAGGTCTAATCTTCCTCATCCTTTCACTGGGATTCACATGTACAAAAAAAAAGGCTGAGGCACAAACTACATGACCCTGTATGGAGGCCTTCTTCCTCACACCCTGTTTGCTTTGCTTATGTGTACTAAACCTCAACCACCATCTGATTAAAGAGCAAAGCACCCAGTTTAAAGTCCTGAGGAAAGTTGAAGAAGAAACTCCAAGAATCAAGGTAATTAGTTCTGATCTTTTAGTCTGCAGGATAAAAAAAGAAAAATCCAGAACATAGATGTTGAAAATACCCAAAAAGTCATAGAAGTAGCTATTGGTTGCTAATTTGTTCAGTTTACATACCTGCAGAGTCATATCCTCTGTATTCCAGTCTCTGTAATCCTTTTATCAGGGTTTCAAATATTTCCTTCCGAGTCCGAGGCACTCTGTAGTTTAGATAAGCAAAAATTCCTGTTTAAAGAGAAAGGGAGAAGGGGGTTAAAAAGAAGCAAAATTTTTTTAGTTTGCATCCCTTCAGACTCAAGTTAAAACCCTATCACAGAGAGTTCCTGGGGGACTCAATCTCCCAATTAGTACAATTCCTCCTAACAGTTTTTTTAGTGGAAAGAGTTCAAATAGAATAGAGGATTCAGGACTCTCACTTTCCTGGCCAGTTTCACTCTCCTCATGTTACCCACCAAGAGTTAAACAGTTGAAATTTCTACTTTTCATGAAAACCACAGCTGAAAATGGGAACATTGTGATCTATTTCATATCCAGACATTCAAAGAAGGAATATATTCACCAGTACTAACACAAGGAGACTTTTGTAATCAAAGTCATGGCCTTAAATACCCACGGGTAGGTACTAGGCACAACATCTATTTATGAAAGGCTCCAGCTTAATCCTGTATACAACAGTCACTTCAGCAGGAGGAGAACAGATAGAGAAAAAAAAAAAAAAAAAAAAAAAAAGAAAGGGCAGAAGTCAAAAGAATAGGACAACAAAGGAAAGAAACAGAAGATACAAAACCAGGGTCACCCAAAAAACAAGCATTCACCCTTTGCACTGCCTCAACATAATGGTGCCTGCCAAACTCAACTCAGTAGAGACATGAGATCCATTTGCTTGCCCCGTGTTACTCAGGTCAACACTTACAGAGGCGTCATAGGGAAAGATGTGAACTCATTCCTTGCCTACTTGGCAAACAGAGCCTGGAAAAGTCTGAAAGGCTGATCCCTCTTCTATTGAATAGACCAGTCATCAACCAAGAAGTGGCTTTTTTAGTTTTGGAGTTGGTTCTCTCATCCCACCCCTGCACAATTTTTTAAAATTTTTTTTTGGAAAGCAAAAGTACACAAGATTTATTCATTAGAAGGAGTTCAGGGGATGTTTTATCTTTAGAAAAGGTGTAATAAAAAAGTCACCTGCAAAGGAAAACACAACCATTCCTTTTCTCTGCCTACTGCTCTTCCTGAGACTTCTCCATTTACAAGGATATATTAGGCCCTTTTATGAACTCTTGCAAATCTGTACCCCAGTAAAACAGAAATATCTAATTTCACTGTTTCAACAGTTTCTCCAAGCAACAAGTCAGGACTGGAGACTACAGCTAGCAAAACCCAGACTTTTAAGAGCTCAACAGATAAGCAGTTCAGACAAGCATTTTAGATAGAAAAGGCCTTTGTTTGAAATTTAACATCCTCTTCCCCTTCAATTAAGGGTTTTGAACTGTAAATAGCTGTAGTGAAGATGCTGTTATAATGATACACCAATAAATCTCCCTTATAAATATTGTCGTGAATTCAGTTACTCCACTGGTTTTAAGCCATTAATACTGTTGATTTGACAGTGAGACTAACAAACTATTACATTGGTCTCTGAATTTATCCTGGAAGGATTAAAGGGTGAAAAATTCTTTTCTGCTACAGAAGTGAGATTTATGAGGAGGCCAGCCTAATGATTTCTAGAGTGTCCAACATTAACGAAGATATTAAGTCAACAGTTGCATTTAAAGAGGTATTTGGGAATTTGAACAGCTAAATATTGTTCTTCATGGATGCTTTGAAAAATTACGCCTCTGGTTATATACAGTATAGACTGAGAGCTTGTTGATCATTTTTCCAGACAGATTATTTACCGTTCTCTGGCACTAACCACGAACCTCAAGAGCAGCATTCTTCAATTTCTTCAATACAAGTTTCACAACATCATTCCAAAATATTGCTACACACCTCATTTCAGATCCAGCTCTACTTTCTAGGCCAGATTTCACAATGTATTTAAGATGCATCAGCCTTGTATGATCCATGTGGCATCTCTGACTACACAGAGCTCCAGGAAGAACCTTCCTTCGGGACCGTCCTTACAATGCTACCAGTGTGCTGCAATTGTTAAAAAGATCCTTGTTTCCAGGGAACCGTAGCTGTGCTTCCACACACGTGAATTATAAGACGCAGAAGTCACTAGAGGCCATTTACAATGAAAGCAATAGCTTCAGCCTGACTTCAAGAAATATAAACTCTTTCAGTTAAAGGAAATAAATTTTACTCTCAGCATTGTTTCTCTAGTACTTTTCTGTTTCATGATTTACCCTCTTGCATATTTTCTTCCCTACTCAGTCATCATTTTGGCTAGATTTAAAGCACATTGCTCAACTCATGTAGAAACAACTTCTGATAAAGACTTCTTGTACCTTAATTCCTTCTGGAAACAAACCAGTACAACTGAATCTTGGTTGAATCATACTCATGATAAGGAAGTTTTGTGATGCTCACAAGTTACTTTATAATGGCCTCCCCAAGATATTAGATGCCATTTCCAGAGCTTGCATCTCTCCTCCCCAGTGAAGACTCAAGTACTCTCTAAGCTAATACTGAAGTGATACCTATCAGGTAAGGTAATGTTTATTCGTCAGCACATGATCAAATAAATACTTTCCCAAGTCATACATACAATCAGAATCTAATGAAAAAAAATTAAGATGTGTTTTACTAGGGTATTGTCTCAATCTGAATGCTGAATATAATTTATAACTTCCCATAATTAAAAAGTTTGCACAGAAGCGTGAACTAGGTCAATCTTGTATGGCTTACCTTTAGAATCAGATACTCAAAACAGAAACAGAAGGTTGTTAAAATGTTACTAAAACCAGCTTTAATTGGGTGCAGACACTAAGAGCAAGGCTTTTCCTGCATGTGCATAGCAAGGCTTTAGAGTCTCCTCTTTCCCTTTCAGGATTGCAAGCAGAGCATCAAAAAGAGTACTTTTTGTATGAAAAATCCACAAGAACTCTTGCAATTGCAAGACTTCACCAAAATCAAGAAGGGGGCAGCCTATACTTGAAGTTTGAACAGTTTTAGTTTTATTTTTATTTTTTAACATAAAATGATGCCTCTATAAAGGTAAGCACATTGGTGATGCCGGAAACTTATCTTTGAGAAAGTCCCAGTCTCAACTTCATACCCTGATGAAATTAATTTTGATCTAAAATAGGTAGATCATCAGTTTAAGAGCATCTTACCTGGTTTTTAAACCCTGCACACTTTTGCTATACCGTCTTCTTACATGTTAGTGTGACAACATCTAACTTTGTTTCCTAAAGAGCATGTTTATGGCAGTATTTAACGACCTATGTATTTTCAAAATAGAAAACATACAATTAAATCTTCATGTGCTACCTGAAGTCAGGAAAAAAACCCACAAGAGGACATATTTTCAACACTTACACCTGGGAAGATATGCAAAAATAAAAACAAACAAAAAAGGTAATTTGGAACTGCTGGTTGCAACCTCACTGCACTTTTTACAGCAAATCAGCCTAGCAAGGAAGATACGGGACATCTTTCATGATAACAAATGCCACATAAAAGGTCTCCAAATGTTGATGGGAAGAAAACTAACACTACTCTCACTGCACTTCATGAACTGCCACTCTCTTTGTCATTTCATACTGAGTCAGTCACTCCACCCCAAGATAGATGCTTTACCAAACTCATTTAACACTGTTAACACCCTCATTTCCCAATCAATATAGAGCCCAGATATGCAAAGTTTTTGATGTTACCATTATGTCTCACTGCTTAGTGCTTGCCACCAATACCTTTGGTTTGCTTAGGCACTGGGCCAAGTCTCTCACCTAAATGGGTTTTGTTTAGAAGACAGTGAGCTTGTCTCATTGATAAGTGACCTGAGAGTCACGTAGGAGCTCAAACAATATCACCTCATGTTTCCATTGAAGTGAAAGAGGCTTACTGGACTCCTTGCTCTAAGGTTACAATTAAAAAGGATGTGGAGGCAGGGAAATGATATCTAGCTCAGAAAGTACATTTTTGGGAGCAGTAACTCAACTCACTTTCAGTCTGCTTCTCACAAAAGAGGGTTTGTTCATGGTGGCTAAGTACAAGCACAATCTTTTCTACTTTCAACAAAAGTATCCTTCCAGACCTGAGAGGAGGTTTTAGTGAATGGACAGGTAAAAATTCACTAAAATTTCCTCCGTAACTAAAATGTATTGCATTAACAGCTTCTGAACCTGCAGTTTGATTTTAATGTGATCCAAAGCATATCTAAGCAACTGCATCCACGCTGTATGCATACACGCTGTAGGTATTATCTTCACCATCTCATCTTTATTAGATAAAGGAAGGTGAATAAACTCACATCAGCTAAGAATTAAGCTCCTTCACAGCCTTTGTTTGAAAACAAACTCTCCCTATTGCCGCAATTGGGAAGTGAGTTACAACTAATCCCTAGTCCTAGATTAGGAAAACCAGAGGCAAACGCCTCTAGAAGCCTGTACATCAGCCAAAGCAGTGATGCACTGAGGCATCAGGAGGAGCCGAGATACCCCCGGGGCAGCCGGGCGGTGGGAACGGGACGTTTTCCGATCAGAAATCCGGGCCAAGCCGGGCAGGGAGGGCACAGATTGGGGAGGTTGTGGGGAGCAGCGAAGGAATTTCCTCTCCTTGGGAGAAGGGGGCGAACGGAGGAGCTTTACCTGCCACGGCCGCAAGAGCCGGTCATTCCCCGTTCCCACCCCCCAGAATGGATGCAGCGGGGCCAGTCCCGGACGAAGCCGCTGCAGGGGGGCGCGGGACGCCCCGCGGGGCTGCCGGACACCCCTCAGCTCAGGGACAAAGCACCCCGGCAGGAGCGGCGGCCGGCCCGGGGCACCCCGCTCCTCCCAGCGGCCCGGGGGAGGCCCCAGCTCCGGCCCGCCCGGAGG